AAACAATATTTAACGCCTTGTTCAGATTGTTATACAAAAAGCGTCCGAGAAAGCAAAAAAATCTGTGGCTGAAGGAGGTCTTGCGAGTCTCATTTGGGGGCAGTCTAAACCTACGTGATGGTTGTCTTAGGGATGTTATAGAAGAACACTTATAGTCAGTCGTCAAAGTATGTTGCCTAAGAACAACTTGGAGAATGAACAGTTGTCGCACTGTTAAGACTTCGGTGTGGTCATATAGTTCTTTAGTAGGAAAGCGGAAAGGTTTAAAAGTGCAAACCTTTAGGATTGCTCTTTGTGCTCGTTCTAATTGTATCAGATTACTTTTACAGGCGCCACCCCAGGTAGAAATACAGTAACTTATCATGGACTGACACAGAGAATAGTACACTGTTTTTAAAACTTTGGGATCAGCCACGTGCCTGAGGTGCTTGAATATATACATTAGTTTCCTAATTCTCCCTGTTAAAAATTCAATGTGCGGTGCGAAAGTTAATCGTGTATCTAGAATAACACCCAGATACCTAATAGTATCCACTCTTTCCAGATTGGGACAGTTGCACATAAGACGGGTATTTTCAGCGTGGTTATGGGCTGCAATATAAAAGTTCTTATCATCGAAGTGTTTCGGGGTTTTGATGTTAAACAGTACATATTTAGTCTTATTGACATTGAGCGACAGAGTATTATCGGATAACCATTTAGTTACTCTGTTCAATCCCATCTGTGCAGTGTCATAAACTTGATCCCAAGAGTGTCCTGCAAAAACAAGCGCCGTGTCATCTGCGAAAGCCAACAATTTACCATCTACTAGATCTAGACTACAAAGTCCGTTTATATACACTAAAAAGAGTGTAGGACCAAGTATACTACCCTGAGGAACTCCAAACTCGACAGGTAGATGGCTGCTAACGTACTCGCCAATTTTGACACATTGAGTGCGGCTGGTCAGGTAACTCTGAAATAGTTGTAACTGTTTATCCCTGACTCCGATCGCCTCCAGTTTAAGGATTAGCTTGGGGATGGAGACCGTGTCAAAAGCCTTGGCCAAATCAAGGAATATTGCCAAGCATTTTTTGCCACTATCCAGTGCCCTCACTACGTGGTCGGTGAGATTATGAACTGCATCATTAGTAGAGGTATTTTTCCTAAATCCATATTGTTTACTAGAAAGTATATTGTGAGCTTCTAGGTATTTGTTTAGGCGATTGTTCATAATTTTCTCTAACACCTTAGATAGAGAAGGTAATACAGATATGGGTCTATAGTTATTGACACGGTCAGGATCCCCAGATTTAAATATAGGATAAATAAGAGCCCTCTTTAGTAGATCTGGGAAAATCCCCTTTTGAATGCAAAGGTTGAATATATAAGTAAGTGGCGGTACCAAGATCTCCCTGTACTGTCTGAGTAGATTGGAGGATATCCCATCAATGCCAACCGCACAATCCGAACGGAGAGTAAGTATCATACGCTCAACTTCCATCTCGTCGGTCTCAAGAAAGACAAAGGAATTTAAAGGTGTTTCCTGTAATTCCACACAGGGGCTGCGTACTGATGTTGTAATTTTGTCAGCTAACTCTTTCCCAACATTAGTAAAAAATCTATTAACCTCATTAATAGATGCGTCAATAGAATCAAGGATCTTTAATAGAGAAGTAGAAGGAGAAATAATTTTGTCAGTATGAGTTACTTCTCTTATAACCTTCCACATTTTTTTGGGATTAGACTTAGCCTTATTTAGTTTTTCTTTCTCGTATTGTCTTTTTAAGGATTTAAGAATAGCGTTACAAAAATTGCGATACCTTTTGAAAGTGGTTTGGAGGGTATCATTATCAGGCTGATTTTTCATTTTCTTATACATCCGATCTCTATTTCTCATGCATCTGAGGATGCCAGGAGTAATCCAGGGTTTAATTATTCTTAGACGATGGGGCACATATGAACATTTAGTACTAACTTTTAGGACTCTGGTTAGTGAATTTACGAATAATTCAAGGGCAGTGTTTGGGTTTTTAGATTCATAAATGGTGGAAAAATTTATATTTTTTATCTGTTCTTCAAGTATTTTGTAGTCGATTTTGGCTCTTGGAGTATTTTTAATTTCTATATTTGTTAATTTATCCAAAGTGAGTAATACTGCGTTATGATCAGTAACGGTGGAATCGAGGACTATAGTCGCAGCTTTAAGTTTACTCTTGAGTAAGACGTGATCGAGAGAAGTATTTCCATGCGTGACTAAATTGTGCGCAGGTAGAAGACCATGACAAGCAGCTAGATTAAGATAATCTGGAGCTTTAGGATCCTTAGTACTATGAGCAATATCTATATTGATATCGCCTATCACAATTATATTGTCAAAAGAACAATTCGATGTCAGTACTTGATCTAAAACGGCCAAAAAAGTTGTAGTATCTCTAAAAGAGGGGGACCTATATAGTGCAAGTATACAGGTCTGATTTCCCATTTTAATTAGGATGCAACAAGCATCTGGGAAATCTGGTTCCGTTACAGTAATATTAGAGAGGCTACTTTTGACATATACTACGACCCCATCATTTTTGTTTAATCGCTTAGCATTACAATAGGACTTATATCCATCTAATGGAGGGATGTTTGGGTTGCAAGATAGCCAGCATTCCGTGAGAATAATGATGTCGAGTGAAAGAGACATCCTAGATAGCAGAGTTAAGAAAGTAGGCATATTTGCTGATATACTTCTTATATTTTGCGTAAGTATTTTAAAAGAATCCATTGTCACCGTGGTTTTACAATTTTCAGGCTCTCTTCTGTAGGATTCAGATATCTTAAAACTATCTAAATTATTTAAATGACTAATATTAAGCGTATCGAATGTGACCTTGTAAAACTAGTGGGCCTTTACAGTAGTACTGTGGTTGCTTTGAACAAGAACTTGCTGTAATATGTAAAATAATATTAAATGTTTGTGTGTAGTGTGCGTGATAACAATGACTGGATGTGTGTGCGTTGTGAGTATGTGCAGGTACTAAGAGTTTGTGTGTTGTGTAGTTAGCCAATTGCGACATATGATGTATGTAATGCAATGTACATAGCAAGAGGGTTAAACAAAAAATTAAAATAAATCTAAGTATTACAATGTAAATTCTCACACTATATAGTCACTTCTTTTTCACAAGTTTGCTAAGATCAGATTCTTTTTCAATTCGAACTGGTGGTTCTCCTTCAGCTTTACGTAAATAAACCAAGCCTCTTGAAGTCCAGCAATAAGAGTAACCGTTGTCTTGAGCGAACTGTCTGGCTAAATAATATATTTTCTGAGCTCTAAATGTCAATGCTTCCGACACATACACAGGCCTAGGAGGCCCCAGAAGTTTGAGATTGCCGGTATTCAATTTATCTTCGTTAGCCTTTTTCTTGTTTAGATTTTTGACTCCTTGCAATATCTTTTCCTTTTTCAAGACGCTATTGAGTTCAACCATGATAGGTTTTATGTTTTCTTTATTAGTGGTTATTCTATAAACATCTCTAATATCAGAGTCTTGTAGCTCAACCTCTACAGCTTTAGCCAATGATTTAATAATGCCTCCGATTCCTTCTTTAGTCTCAATTTTTTTGTTATCATATAACACGGCGGGAACGTTACGTATTTCTAGGCTGGTCGATTTATTTTTACGTTCAAGAGTTTCAACCTTTTCTTCCAATTTTAGAATCAGTTTTTTATCTCGTTCCTTTTCTTCTTCCAGATTTGTAAGAGATTTAAGGACCGAATCATATTTGTCTGACATCATTTGTAGGCTGTCTTTTAATTCATCATTTTGTTTCTTCAGATCTTTAAAATTTTGAGTAACAGTAGCCGATAATGTCGTAAATAATCTTGTCATTTCAGCTTTTAATTGACCGTAATCATCGTCTAGTTCACGTCTAATTAATTGGTGACCAAAGAATTTTTGTTTTGAGTTGTTGCGAGTTGTAGGTAGGTACCTAATTTATAGAGACGTTAATAAGCTGAGATAAAAAGTTACTTACTCGTCAGCTGTTTCTTGCATTCTAGTTGAGTAGGTAGGTGTTGAAGCTTCTAAGGATTGGAGTTTTGTAACGCGTAAGGAGAAAGCACATTTACTTTATTTCATAGAAGGATTTTTTTCGGTCGCAAATTTATAAGCCCGATTTGATTTTCAAACAAAAACATGTTTTTTTAATTGAATCTACCAATCAAAAAACAACACGCATTTTTATTGAACAATTCCTATTCAATATACAAAGTATTTCATTTATTTATATAAAAAGGATATTTACAATCACAAATCTAAATAGAAACAGAAAGTAGGCAAATATAATTAAAATGCTGGAGACGGGCAGCCCTAACGCATGTTTACGTACCGCGCGGCTGTAGGCATTTATTTCTATCATGCGGTCGAGTTACACTACTGTATTATAATTGTACCGTGGTCGTAGGTACATCACTGCGCAACGGAGCAAAAGAGGTGTTACCATTCTTGACTTAAAGGTCTTAGTTACCAGGTCATTAAATTCCAAAAAAAAAGCTGTTACCAATATTTCTAAATTTGACATTTGCATGATTATGTTATCTGTGGGTGGAAGCCCCTAAAGAAAAATAGTGAGATTTAAAACATAAGTTTTATTTGTTATCGATAGGTTTCTTTCTGCAAAAGTACAACGATGAGGCATTGAAGTATATAAAAAAATGAAACTTCTAATTCCGTGCCATAATTATACTTTCTTATGAGAGTACCTGAGAGCGGACAGGTTTATCATATTACTTTACAGTGAAATATTTATATCAACAGCCTTTAACAGTCCTGGGCTGGACTCTCCTTATCCTCCTCATTGGACTGACTCTCCTTAGTTAGGAGATTGTCGTATTACTATACCACGCTGGCCAGACGGTTTATATTTATATATGCTATAAGAATATTTGTATGCCGTAAGAAATCCATATTTAGATTAAATACAACCATTAACGGCACTTTACGTCGGAAGTGATTGAAACGTATTTTATTATGGATACTAATCAGGAACCTCCGACTGATAAAGATCGAACATCGACAGCGTTAACAAAACCGGCTGTGCCTGCGCCTGATTGGAGCATACAAAACCATGAGGTAAAATGCTATTTTTTTCAAACCTTTATCATACCTTTTAATTTGTATGAATGTGGATATCCAATGGTATTTTAAAATAAATTTACATTTTACTGCCTTTGAGTTCAGTACTATTATGGCTATTCTAAATAACCTCATTGCCTCTGTAGTGTCTTTTCTAATGAATAATTTTGATATTAAAACTGTTATATTTATATATTTACTTTACTGGTAGCCACATATATCATAACTAACAAGTTAGTTAAGATATCTATGCTTCTGACTTACTGTGTGTTCCAAAATCAGAAGATTAGGAATTAATAGTAAAGTTACCAATGGTTTCTAAAGAAAATAGTATAGAAAACTGAAATAGACAATTTTACCACTGAAGAACTTTGTTATTGAAAATATTGTGTTCACCTTATTCAAAAATTAGTTCTATTTGCCTTTACACTTTTGAAAAATATCCACTTTTGTAATGTAGTGTTTAAATGAATATATTTCAATGTTTTAAATGTAATTGATTTTAACAATAACCTCGTTACAAGCAATAAATAAAACCATATATGTAAATCAAAGGCAAATGAATTTTGTACTGTTCAGTAATATAAAACAAACATGTAGTTAGTATAGACTAAGTAATTCAAATATTACTTAATGCTTGAAGAATCTAGGTTTAGCAGTAAATTGTAGTGTTCACAGTTAATTGACTGTTGGTAGAAAACGAAACTACATTCTTTTGTTAGATGGTGCACTTTTCAGTTATTTTTACTTTATTATATTATTTTTTAAACTTGCTAATGTGTCCACGTCACTGCACTCAAGTTAAAGTCAGAGGAGTAAAAGTTTCTGTGGATATGTTAAAACGGTTGTTTAGTGCAGTGTGTTGTATTTTGCCAAACATTTATTAAGTTGACAATGAAAAATTTAGTATAAGTTAATAGTAAAAAGCTAGAGTAACATGTCTGTGTTGTGATAGATTTAGAATACAAAGTGTTACCAGCCTGTTCAGCCAGTGGGTGTCATAAGAGCCGACAAAGGGAGCAAATTAAGCAGGCCTAAAAACTTACCTCATAATTTCTCACTCTATCTGCCAACATCACATTTCACTTTTGTCTTAGTGAGCCGCCACTGCCATCATAGTTGGTGCCATTACTCCTTAATAAGCCACCAGATATAACATAATAACACTTTCTGACTTTTAACAAGGGAATGCAGGGCTATTGCCCTGGAAATGCCCTAAGGGAAACTCAGTAAGTAATCTTACTGAGTTTCCCTTTTGCACTCTTATTTGAATATTTTGGCCATGCTTTCCATCCCTTGTATGTCATCCTGTGTATCCCGTGTATCCCATCTCATGGAGTTGTTCCACTCTCCAATTACTCACAAACAGTTAGTTCTTCATCCTTTTCAAACACCGTAAGCTAAGCACTTGACATATAACTCACTCATATGCGAATGCCACTTTTCTCTTGCTCTTTCAGTTCAGACAAACAGCTTTTCATAAATAAGGGAAACAACATATTTGTGCAAAAATGTTGTGTATTAGTGACAAACAATTCGTTCGAGCATCATGGAAACATGAACAGAAGATATATAATTGCAATTAATTGATCTATACCAAAATAATTCAAAGATGTGGGACCCAAAACCTGATTACTAAAAAAGAAAAAATCAGAATCATGGATTTCGGTTATAACGGTTGGAAGGACCACTTTATCCAAAAGATTTTTTCGCCATATCCAAAAGAGCAGAAAGTCATGTACATATTTGACTGTCTACATACCCCTCAGTTAATTTTGGTAAAACTGTTCTCAAACAATTGTCACAGTTACTTTGCGAAACACTGGCGGCTTCTCTATAATCTTTACCAATCATTATAACATGACGTTGTCTAATCTTTTCTTTTACAGTAAATGTACGTGTAGGAGCCATATCATGACATACTGTTTTTTATTTTTTATTTATTCTTTTACAATATTTACTGACTTTTTGACAATTATATAGGTATGCATATTTTACATCATCAAAAATTGCTATGCAACTGATTCAAAGTTCAACTTCTGACATTTCTAACAATTCCTGCCTACAACCAAAGCAAGCATATCTGGCCATCTGTAAATGTAAAAAAAAACAATTAATAAGCTTTCTTAAAGCTTATTAATAGTCTTTTTTGTAGAAGTTTTTTGAATGAGTCTTTGTGCCTTTGCTAACAACTCAGTCGCAATATACGCATGGAATTTCTAGAATTCGGTCACAAATGGTACATAACAACACGTTGCTTTACCTGAAATTTTCATCATATCCGAAGTTGCTGTTGCCGAATAAATTTCCTACGAAAGTATGATTTAAATTCAAGGGACATAAGTCTGACGTCGCTATAACCGAAAAGTCGTTACAACCGAAGTCTTAATTAATAAAATCTACTGTGCTTGTCAAAAAAAATTGTACATAATTAATTTTACCTATTTTGAATTAATTTTTTAGATGGACATGTCCTCACAAGAAGCATGTGATAAAAATTTAAACATAAATTCATCTCATAAAGAGTCTGTAACAAATAGTATCGCAAAGCAAGTAAGCAATGGAGATGCAAAAAGAGATGCTCCAACTCCTACACAGAGCGTACCTAGTAATTCCTCATTAGTAGCAACTCCAGTTTTAACTTCTCAAAATCGTATACCTGGAGAAGTGGCACTTACACCTACTCATAGTGCATTTACGCCACATACGTTAAATCCACATAGTTCTATGACTGCACTCACTCCTATGGTGAGCGGATCTAATCAAGCGAAAAACAGTATTAAAGTTCAGTAAGTATTTAACTATTCTCTTTAATCGTTGATTTGTGAATAACATTGTGGGCTACAATACCTATTATAATTACCTATTTTAAATACCTATAATAAACAGACAAAAGCATCTCATTAATTTAAGCAAGTAGGTTAGTAGTAGTAGCACGAAAGGCATTGCTGGCTGAGTGATGTTCAGTTTACGAATTACCTGAATATTTATAAACGAATTTAGCGCTAAGTTATATTGGTTTTTTATTAATTAAACCTAAAGAGCATTATTGGTGTATAGAAAAAAAAAACAAAAAAGAGCATCACCCATTATTGTTGAAGATGTACCAGTCAATGAACTGTTACTTACAATAATGCTTTAAAAACAAAATGTTTACACATATTTGCAGTACAGTTATTACTTTGAAGTTTCGAAGTGGATTTTATAAAAATAAAATATCTGAAGTTAATTCTGTGTTTTTTTTATTTCAGGAATTGTGTATCAACTGTGCATTTAGGTTGTGAATTGAAATTATTAGATATTTACTGTAGGACTCGTTTCTCTGAATATAACCCTGCAAGATTTCACGGCGTAGTCATGAAAATAATTGATCCTAGAGCAACAGCATTAGTGTTTAGGTAAGGAGAGTTACCTTACAAGTATTAATCAACTCTGTACAAATATTTATATTCTATGTTAACACATTATTAAATTATTTACTTCAGATCTGGCAAGGTCCTCTGTACAGGATTAAGAAATGAGCACGATTCTTATTTAGCTGCTCGAAAATTTGCTAGAATCATACAGAAACTAGGATATCCAGTAAGTATTTATCAGTTGAACGAAATTGTTGTTGGTACAGCTACAAGATAATATAAGGAATAATAATAATATATCGCTTTATTGTACATCAGCTATAAATATACAATAATTACCTTAAAATAGGTAAGTACTAGTGGCAGTCTTATCGCTCAGAGTCAATCTCTTACAGGCAACCGTGGTATACACAGATCTAGATCCACATCCAAAGTTTTATAATTATACCATCCCTGATTAATAGTTTATTTTATATTAGGTGTTATAAGTCTATTAAGAAAAAAAAAACCTATTGAACTTCATTTTGAGGCGTCTAGTCTAGGAGCTTTTTATTTCCTTATAATAAGACAAAAAATGTTTTGGTGACAAAAATCATAATACAGAAAAATTCAACTTGAACTTTAAGAATCCTTTTTAGCTAACCGACGATACATTCGATTGGAGGAGTCCACCCGCAATTGATTACTATTAAACAAATGTAAGAAAATAATGAGATAGATACTGACATGTAATTCAGCTTCTCCATTTACCTCAATTAAGTGCTGAAGCTAAAATAAAATTATTCCCGTAATTTATTTTAGGCAAAGTTCTTGGACTTCAAAATACAAAATTTTATTGCTACAGCCGATTTACGATTTCCTATAAGATTGGAGGCACTACAACAGGCACATGGACAATTTGCATCGTATGAACCAGAGTTATTTCCTGGACTGGTGTATAGAATGGTTCGACCAAGGGTGGTATTATTAATATTCGTTAATGGAAAAATTGTTTTTACAGGTACGTATAAGGGTAATTTTATTACATTAGCAAAATGGTGTTTATTATTAAATGGAAGTGCTCGCCGAAGTATATCGGCGGACGGCTGAGTTCCGGGCGGAGCCTCTAGCCGGGACGACCAACGAGCCATCGTGGCTCGGCGGTCAGCCCCGCCCGAAGAGATATGCGGTGGCGTGAAGCCGCTCGCCGAGCCACGATGTCTCGTTGGTCGTCCCGACTGGAGGCTCTACGTGCCGGCTTTGTCGCCGTGATATCGCTCCAGCCGGTTATCGTCGAGTGGGCAGGGTGGCAGCACGGGACCCTTTCCTTCCGACTCACGCAGGTCACGCAGGAGGTAATTGAGTCCCGCCTGTCACCACTGCGATTGCAGTGAGGACTCGGCTCAGCACACGCTGGCAATTTGCCGGGTTGGGCGCCGCAGCGCCGGGTCCTCATTGCAGTCATCGGGGTGGATCTCTCGCTACCGGACGTTATACGCTCCGGGTTTTCTCCTCCATCTGCTATAGTGACCAGCCGGGAGGAGGCGACGTCCGGTACACACGGACGTCGCCTCCTCAAATCGAGAGTTTACCCAAAGGTGGTGCCCGCGCTGTTGCGGGCAGGCACTGGCGCACACATAAAAAAAAGACCCTATACTTCACTCACATAGTTCTCTTTAACATTGTACACGGACTTAAAAAAATGACACATCTGTGGTTTTTTTCGGCGTTTCTTCCCAGAGCGAGTCTTAGGAAATGCCGGTGCCTTCTAGCTGTAAAGTCCGACTTGTATAATGTTGTGTAATATATCTGAAAAGATTTACTTACAGAAATAAATATAATTTCATTTCATTTAGAGGGCGCTAGCGTCTCGTAGTCGTGATTGTGATTGTGAATCGTGTTTGTACTCGGAGCAATGTGAACGAAAATATATTAACATTGTTTAGAGAAGAAGTGGCAGATGACGGTTAGGGTTGCTAGGTAGGTAGGTTAGACGAATAGGTTAACATTAGACGATGATGAACCGTTAAATAGGCGAAATGGGGTCCTTATGCATCGTCTGAAAGCAGCTAATTGACAATAACGCGTGAGTAAGTAGTAACCCTAACCTACGTACAAAAAATCGAATGATAAATCACCGAACTTTCACAGTTCATAGTTTGTCCCATGCCTAGCCGCTATCATATTTGTACCATAGCGACGGGCGCACGCCGCAACGACTTGACTTTAAAATGAGTTTTAATAAAGAACGGTTGGTCGGTGATTTTATGAATATTGAATTAGTTTTTCTATTTTCCTTGATAACATCAGGAGTTCATCTGCCACTTCTTCTCTAAACAATGTTAATATATTTTCGTTCATTTTTAGTACAAACACGATTGTTCAACCTGCCCAATTCACAATCACGACTACCAGACGCTAAGCGCCCGCGTCCAGAGAACCCACGCACGCGGCCGACGGCGTACGCCACCGGCGGTGGAAACGCTTTGATCGTCGATCGCAAGCGATTGACGTTTAGAAAACCCCGGGAGTCATAATAATAAAATATAGTAAAATTTCATTAATAAGTCTGATTTTGAGGACCTCGTGGTGTTTTGGTCCGTTTTTGGCTGATTTAATATTTCTGAAAAGATAAACTTTTTGCCTGTTTCGTTAACTAAGATTAATAATTGTAAATTTTTGATTAGTCAATCTCCTTGGCAATTCGTATTCGCAAAGGTCGCTGATCATTGTCTAAATCATACAGAGATGCTGGAACTCTGCTGACCTAATCTCTTCCCAGCAATGGAGTGTAAATTCTTGGTTATCTCAATGCACCCAAGTAACAAACCTGGGTCAGTCATAGGATTACGAATATATCTTGCCAGAATAAAAGGAAACTAGCTATATACAACGTGTCTTACATAATGTTTTATTTCCAGGTGGTAAAACAAGGGGTGAAATTCACGAGGCCTTAGATATAATCTATCCAATTTTAAGAAGCTACCGCATAAGTTAATATATTTAAGTTCCTAAGCAGTGCAAGTGTAATAATCTTTATTCTATAGTGACGTTTTATATTTATTGTTTCATATTATAAATATAACGAAAAGTAATAAAGGTTTTCTCATTTTTACATGTATAGATCGATGGGTACTCTATTGTACACTATGATTAGGGTATATACAATGTATAATACCTACAAACAAAAAAAGCAGTGATACAAGAGCGTACTCCTTCCTAAAAGGCCGGCAACGCATTTGTGACTCCTGAGTTGCAGACGTTCATGGGCGGCGATAGTCACTTTCCATCAGGTGACCCGTCTGCTCGTCTGCCCCCTCTAACATAAAAAAAAAGCAATGGGCGTCCTTATCGCTGTCTGCAATTTCTTCCCGGCAACCTTTAGATGGACTATACATACGAGGTCCCGACATCCAAATAATAGTCACGAGGGACGGCATGTGGGGGTGGCGAGCAGGGCAACCGCCCGAGGCCTCACTCATGCAGGGGCCTCGCACACTCGCGCAAAAACCCAAGTACAAAAATATATTTACGTATATGAATTTAGCGCCTTACGCCGCGCTGTATAAAAATCACGTCACGCCACTTGCTCTCTTGCGTGGTAATCACATCCCTAAAACTCATTCCACAAAGACAAGGGCCTCGCAAAGAACTACCCGCCCGGTGCACGGTGGCCCGAAAATCGGCTTTCATAGACTTAGGGATTTCAATTTGCAAGTGCCGTATTTATTGTCGGATATCTATTAGTTATTACTATCTATAAAAATGACACCCGAGTTAATTCTGAACAAAGACGAAGGAATTATAATTGTTACGTAAAAGTTATGATGAAAAAACGTTTTTTTGTGCAAAATTAACTTGGGTGTCATTTTTGTATGTGGCAATAGAAGCGATATCCGGCAATAATACCCCACTTGCAAATTAAATTCCTGCACACCGTGCGAGGCCTCGCAATGATCTACATACCCGGGACTCCCAATGGTGTTGTTAGAATAGCGAAAGTTTCGCTATCGAGAATTGACCTTGAAAACAGTCGAAAGCGCAAATAGTCCCGTCAGATGTTTCGCTAGGCTGCTGCATCACTATCGATAGTGAAAATTAAGCGATACTATTAAACTATAACCATACTATTGATGTTATCGATACTAACTGGAGATGGAGGCCTGTTCAGGAAACCAGGTCTCCACCCCTTTTAAATTTACATTTTAGTATTATATATAGTATTAACGTATATTTAGTATTAACACAAATGGGCACTGCGAAACTGAATGTTTTACTATATATTATTTAATATGAATGTTTTATTTAAGCATATTAATTTAGATACATATACGTATTGTTATTGTGTGCATGTGCGTGAACGTGAGCATGTTGATGTGGGAGCTTCTGCGCATGGGTTTGCTTCACAGAATAGTGAATAAACTACAAATGCGACGTAGGCGGGGCAGGCGCGCCGGTGTTACGAGCAAGCGTGGTTGAATCTGAAAACATTCGTACTCGCTTGTTACTTTCGGTGGGAACGCATCTCCATAAAAAAATTATTGCTAGCCGAGTTGAGTGCTAATTGCGTGTCTATAACGAAGCCAGGACTGGAATTTGTCCAAAGGCAACGTATCATATCATGGTAGGTCTAAAACTTTTATTTGTTAAGTAATATTAATCACGAAGTATTATGTAAAACAAATTACAGAACATAAAAAGAAAAGTGTTATGATCTAATATATTAAAACAATCATACGTTGCGTATAAAATGGAACCACGAGAGCAGGTAAACTATTAACATATTAAGAGCAAGAAAGAAATTATTAACGTGTGCGTTACCCCTTTCCTTTTTTTTTGTCTGTGCGGAAATTCCTTCGTATACCAACCTCCAGTGGTCATGTCGGACATGAACCGACCAAAAACCGCACGCCGTCTTGGGTACCAGTAGCCGGGGAACCAGGTGTACCCTAGGAAGGAAATCCAATAAATAAATACTCCAAAAAAAAAAAATACTGCGATACAAGCACTCACACGCCAAGACCTTTTGTGACCAAATCATTTAGGAAACAACTTTTCGACAGCCTGCACAGTTTAAGCCATCCAGGAGCTAAAGCTACCACTAAGCTGATAACTGAGCGCTTCGTTTGGCCCAGAATTCGTAAGGACTGCCGGGAGTGGTCGTGAAAATGTCTGGAGTGCCAACGCGTCAAGGTAAACCGCCACGTGTCAGCACCATTGGGGACGTTCGATTTACCCCGTGCTCGCTTCGCTTTTATTCACGTGGACATCGTCGGCCCCTTACCAATATGTCAAGGGTACCGGTACTGCCTCACCGTCGTGGACCGTTTTACCCGTTGGCCGGAAGTCACACCAATGACCGACATAACAGCTGAAACAGTCGGGAAAGCTTTAATATCGTGGATATCCAGGTTTGGATGTCCTATCGATATAGTAACTGACCGTGGTCGGCAGTTCGAATCCACACTTTTTCAGTTCCTTGGAAAAGTGATCGGGTTTAAACATCGACGCACAACCGCGTACAGGCCAGTTTGCAACGGGCTCGTGGAACGGCTTCACAGGCAACTTAAGGCAGCCATAATGTGCCAGGCTGACCACAATTGGGTGGACACCTTGCCCTTAGTGCTATTGATCATAAGAGCAGCATTCAAAGAGGATCTGAACTCTTCTTCAGCAGAACTCGTGTATGGAGAACCGTTACGCCTGCCTAGAGAGTTCTTCTTGACGCATACTCCTTGTACAACTGATCTGTCAGACTTTACCGCTCGTCTAAGACACCTAACCGCTAAAATCCGTCCATCACCAGCAGCTCGCCACTGTAAAAATAAATTTTTTTTTTACAAAGATTTCGCATCGTCGAGTCACATTTTTCTAAGGGATGACTCCGTAAGAGGTTCCTTACAGCCTCAGTATACCGGTCCTTATCAAGTGCTTGACAGGGGGGACAAGACTTTCAAGATACTGGTCAAAGGCAAGAGCGTCACGGTTTCAATAGACCGACTTAAGCCGGCTTACATGCTTAAGGACCCCATTTTTTTTTTTACGTGTGGAAATCCCTATCGGACCGTCACCCCGCCGGGGCTCTCGTTCGGCGCGGCGGTGTGTCGGACTCGAACCGACTAAAACCACACGGTGTGCCCTCTTTACGCTTCCAGTTTAGGAGGGGTCCAGGTAGTTATCGCCTTCTGGACCCCTCCCAGCGCCGGCCCGCTCCTGTTGCGGGCTCCGTCTCAAAATGTTTCCTCTCTTTAGGCGACGTCCGGCACACGCGGACGCCGCCCCCTCGCGGCTGGCCAAACTAATGCGGGTGGAGGGGAGAACCCATCCCGTCCACCGGCGGCCACACTCAGGGCGGCATGAGGCGCAGATAAGCGCGCCTCAGCCGCCCGGTTCGCCGGCGGCGGATCGGGTCCGAGTGGAGGTCGTCCTCCCGGGCCTTCTCCGCCGCCTCCTTCTGCGAGATTACTTCCTCGCAGATGGTTGCGACCGCGGTAAAACAACTGTCGCTACCGGCCATGGAGCGAACTACGGCCGGTCCGATGACTGCAGTGAGGGCCCGGCGCTGCGTCTCCCATGCGGGGCAGAGATGCGGGGCACTGCGAGATGTTCCACCATTTTCCGGAGTTCGGCAATCTCGCTTGATGAGTTGCTACTTGCCGGGACCGCCGTAGATCGACATCTATCTACGCCACCTCAGGTGACGAAGTTAACTCCTGAATGCGGTCTGCCAGGTCAGCTAGCTGTTCCAAGGAGTGCGAGGGCTGAGAGGCTAGTACAGTCTGAACTCCGATGGGTAGCTGACTGCTCCAGATCTGCCTTACAATGACCTCAGCAGCGGACGCTCCTGCTAAATCCTGAAGGTGTCGTAGGAGTTGAGATGGCTTACGATCGCCCAGTTTCTCCTGTATAAGCAACTGCGTCAACTTCATCTCCTGTGAAGCCGACAGACGACGGAGAAGCTCTGTCTTAATCTTATCATATCGGTTTTTAGCCGGCGGGTTCAATATATCTTTTACAGTCTTCGCATGCTGTATATCGAGCCTGGTAGTCACGCAGCTAAATTTTACACGGTCGTCGGTAATATCAAGGCTATCGAATTGACTTTCTAAAAGCGCAAACCTAAGTTCCGGGTCTTTAACTGAAAATTTTGCCACCTTAAGGGTGACTTTGCGTTGGTCTGATGAGGTGTCGTGACTGCCGGTAACAACACGCATTCTTCTCGGCACTCGCACTGTAACGTTCTCTTCCACAGTTTCGGCGGTAGTTAGGGAATCACTGCTATCACTCATTTTAGTGTTCCTAACCGGGGTCACCAGTTGTAGTGTGTTAGGTAGGAGTAAAAATGTTCACATACCACAAGTCCAAGAAAAGGTCCAGTACAGGTCACAAATGTTTTTATTTCACGAATCACACAGTTAAGTAAAACAAGCACAAAGAACAGAAGGGTAAAGTCAAGCAATGTAGTAAGAAGATGGAAGAAACACTATAAACAGTTCAAAGCTCGGAAACAAAGTATAAGGAAACATTATAACAATTAATATTAATAATTAGTGATGTGAAGAATAAAACCCGTGCACGTCGCTCAAGAACAACTGAGAATATTGCTGCTGTAGCCCAAAGTGTTGAAGAAAACGCAGGTTTGTCCATTCCTCGTCGTTCTTTGGAATTGGGCATTCCACAAACGTCATTACACCGTATTTTGCATAAAGACTTGGGTCTTAAGGCTTATAAAGCTCAGTTAACACAAGAACTCAAGCCGGCCGATCATCAACAACGTCGTGTCTTTGCTGATTGGGTACTTGAAATGCATGAAAATGATCCGGAATTCCATCGAAACATCATCTTGACTGATGAGGCCCATTTCCACCTAGGAGGCTACGTCAACAAGCAAAATTGTCGCATCTGAGGCTCGGAAAACCCAAGAGTTATTGTTGAGAAGCCTCTCCATCCTCAACGTGTGACTGTTTGGTGCGGTTTATGGTCCGGCGGGGTCATTGG